AGTCAATGTGTACTACTGACAGTTTTTGATTCTATACTTAGTAGTAAGGTATTATAGTAAGGTGAAACGTGTAAGTCCCCGACTGGAACTCCTGCGTTTTGCACAAAGTTATCACCATTTAGAGAGACCTATTTAAATATTTTTATTTTTGTAGGTATGATTGTAAAGTGTGATGTCTTATTCAAAGTCATAAAACAAATGTTGTTGTCTAAGATGTTAGTAATAAAATCCTGCGAGGTTAGTACCTACTTTATAGACGGTCCTGTATAATTGTTAAAAATCCAAAAATAGTTTCATGAACATTTGCTGTACAAAGCGTAATATGTACGTATAATATGCATTATTTACGAAAGTACGTCACTAATTTGTTCTTATGATTGATCCCGCTGGATTTGAACTAGCGACGCGGGCTATCGCTCTCCCAACAGAGCTACAGAACCAGTCGGCACACATTATGAATTTCTCTATGTGCTTGCTGCAGATTGTTGTTTTTGGTTTTAACGGCTTTTTTGTCGTAGAGAAAACTATGAAAGTAGTATTTATATAATTATTAAACAAAGATTGAATACTTAGAAAAAATTCACTTCGATCCGGTTGGATTCGAACCAACAACATCTCCAAACCAAGCCAGTGCAAACCGTGCCAGACGCTAAGTCACAGAACGCACCAACACACCTTACAAATTTTTCCATGTGTTTGTTGCAGATCTTTGTGTTGATTTTTTCACGACTTTTTTGCCGTAGCGCCATCTGTGAGAAATCTATTGAAGTTTTTCGTCACTCAGCGAGGTACCTTTAGAGCTACCAGCCGCTGACTAGGGATGTCACTTTAATAATTGTAATTAAGTTTTATTGAATGTCAGGTAGGTATATTGAATATCGGGCTCTGGACAGGGACTCCGGAGCCTGCACTGCACGGCCTCACTCGTCTGGGGGGCGGGCCGGAGGACAACCGACTCGCCCCTCCGTTGGCGCGGGAGCCCTGGCGTAAGCTAGGGCGGCCGAGCGGCGTCGTGGTGAATGTTCACTGATCCCACGGCGCCGACTCAACCGGCGAGAGGGAAACCCGGGGGGGTTTTAGTGGGGTAGGCCCTCAAGTTTGGAGGGAGAGTCCCCACATAACCCCTGAGTCTCCCTGGGCTCAGGGGTTATGTGGGGTCCATAAAGCCCCCACCAAAAAAAAAAAAAAAAAGGTATCGAGTTCTTAGGTTTTCGCGATTGTTATACATAGGAATGAAACTATTTTTCCGGATTTAAATCGCGTATATTTGTTTTATTTGTTTTTGAAAAAACAAATATACGCGATTTAAATCCGGAAAAATAGTTTCATTCCTAAAAAAAAGGTATATTGAATATAATAATTGGATATAATTGTGATGAAACATCATGAGAAACAATAAAACTTAAATTGTATTTTTTTATAACACCAAGTGACAGGACGAACAAGTCGTGCGTCTGGTGGTAAGCTACACACTCGGAGCTTTAAATTGCAAAGATCTGAGGGGCACTACCACTGCGCCCATCACCCTGAGACATAAGTTGACAAGTCCCATGTGCCTGTAATTTCACCAGCACCCTTATCCTTCAAAACTGGAATGCAGTAATGCTGATATTACAGCTTGGCGCCGGCAGAAATAGGCAAGGTGGCAGTACTACCCTGGACGAACTTTTTCACAAGGGTCTCTACAGCTGCTCTATTTATACTTCAATGTTAGTAGAAAAATACTTTCATCTCTTTTAAAGTGACCACGCTGTTATGAAAGGTGTTGTATAAATGAGGTCAATAAAACGAAGCATTAATTTTTATTTCATATAATCATTACTGGATAATTGAAAATGCATCATTCGGCACTTAGAGGTACCATTTATACGTCTTTAATCTAAACATACATTTAGATTTGATTAAAATTTAGTTTAAAAATTCATAAATAAATAATTAAATAAATTACCCGTATTATAAAACGTAAAATTTTAATAGAGTTTTCTTTATCCACATTCGTGATTGGTTTCTGTATAGCATTTCCATTTCCTGCATTGAACTATGGTTACATTAGAAAATCTCTACATAAAATGCAATATCACATGAATATTACTAGGTTTTCGATTTGACAGAGCTAGATAGAACAAATCGAGTTCTTGGGTTTCCGCGATTGTTACATATGAAACTATTTTTCCGGATTTAAGTCGCGTATATATGTTTTTTCACTCCGGAAAAATAGTTTCATTTGCTACAAGTAGAACTATTTAAATAAAATTTAGTGCAAAAACTTAAAGCATAATAAAACAAGTATGGCAACTCCGTACAAGAGCGGGTTCCACCCAGGGCTGGGCAAAATACATGCTAGTTCTTAATTGAAATACAAATTACGTAAACGTAAATTCTTATATATATTTAAAATATGAAATGCAATATACTTTCATGAGGTGTATTTGAAATACAAATTTTGATCAGATTTTATAAAATACAAAATACAAATTACTAAATACTTTAAATAAAAAATAATATGGCAAGCAAGGGCGGGGCACGGAGTATCGTTTAGTAACGTCAATAGTGCTGCACTGTCCGCGTAGTAGAATTGTCACATAGTAGTCAGTACATTAAAAAAATATTTATTAAATAGTTATATATATTTTTCAATTACAAGTAATTCAAATACAACCCAGCCCTGGTGTGCACGCCCGTCACGCGACCTATACGGACGCACACTTTCGCATAATCTCGCGATGCATTCGCGTTACAAAGCACGTGGCGTCACACGTGCCACTAATTATAGAGTTGAAGCCTTCGCTTGGAGTCTAAAAAATTACATCAAATAGTTGACGTGGTAGTTTGAACAAGAGTGCCCCAAATTCAGAATTGTTCAGCATTTAATTTCTGCTTCATAATCGTATTCCGTAACCAAGATACCAATCCGCAAGTCTGGTATAAAAAAAACAATACGTAAGTACCTACTGCACTTAACTAAGGTTATTCTAGTATTATTTTCTTCAAATTTTGTTTCAAAGTTAAAGGTACAAGTAAAATAATTATGTAACAACCCTACGCTTCGAGAGAAGTGAAGCCATTTACGTGTCCAACAGGCTGGAGTTGCTCTACTTGCTTATTATACTATGCTTATACAGCGAATTTTGAAACAGAAATAAACCTTGAGGGGTTTATTTTTCTCACTTTCATTCTATGACCCTTGATAACTTTTCATACATTTAAGAAAGTACGTAATTACATTGGGCGATAACAATATACTTATACAATTTCGTCTCTAATATAGTGTAACCTATGTTTCAAATATTTTTAATGACAGTACTCCGGGTCAAAAACTGTTTTATTTGACGATGAAGTGATGTTTACTACCTATCTATATCTAGAAGAAACAAACGATTGTAGAATTTAAACAAAAGAATTAGAAACCGTATCATATTTTGAAAATCGTTATAATCATCTGGGCGTGGTACGAGAATATCAGTTTCTATATATAGATCCAATTTGCCTTTACAGTGGCATTGAGTAAAGCTCAAATATTTAGTTAGGTCATGTCTCTTCATCGTCACATTGCCCTCAATTTTTTTATTGAAATAAAATTTTCAGTTAGCGGCTTTTCCTTCAACGCTCAATTAGATTACTGCAGCTCAATTTACTTAGTCGTGTACATTTTCAGGATTTTCTAACAAATAACTTTAGTTAAATCTATTTATTTCACTGTCGAGGTCAACAAAGCCACCTTTGTCAAGGTTCAAATTACAAATTCTATCGCTATTCGGTTTTGAATTACTCACAAACCTCGACTTACATTGTTACTTAACCTTCCACACATTGCTTTAATATTAACTTGCTATCGATTTCTTTACGGTCATTTGATTCATATATTATAATTTCGTACTTTAACGTATTCTATTTATACATGTGAGAATTGTTTGAATAGCTTTTAAATGAAACAGTTTAACAAATAACCAAATATTATAACAAAAAACAGACACAGTAAGAACAGTGACTATCGGCATTCGAGCCTTTAAGATTACAATAAACTACAATGATAAGGGCAATTAAAACACCGATCCATAAAAAATGTACTATAAAATCACATTATATAAGACAAGCACTTTGGAATCTAATTTCACTATTACTTTACAAATAGTCTCGTCGACTAGACGCTAAGTACATACAATTAGAAAATCTACATAATTACAAATATTTACTAAGAATCTAGACTCTTGGAGTTCTTTAGAGATCGCGTGCTGAATGGTACTGTTTTGTTTTTCTTAACTTTATTATCTATTGGGTTGGAGTAAGGATCATTTGTGGCTGTTGAAGGAGTACTGAACACGGAATTTTTCGAACTGGGTACACTGTTCCCTGGCGACACACCACTGTCAGTACTCACGGAGGCCGGGCTTGGGCTATCGCTCATATTATTACACACCGTCAAATCCTGTCCCGGGATCGACACAATTTGACCTATTGGCTTCTGTCTGACTAGATTTATGCTTTGGCACACGTTATTTTTCACTTCACTGTCACTCACTTCCTTTTTGTGGTACCTCGTTAATGTTCCTGCAGATCCCGCGGAATTTGGACGGTACATTGGCATGAACTGTGCTTGAGGATAGTATTGCATCTCCGGCGGCACTTGTCCTGGTACCCACGGGCCCATGGTTGAAACAACTGGAGGCATATGTGGCCATATAGGCATCTGGACCATATGTGTACCATCTGGCATGGGATTGAAACCAGGTGCTACTGGCATGGGCCTGACGACTCCTACCGGTGTAGGCGCGCTATGTGGCCTCATTGCTGGGTGCCCATACTGAGACACAAACTCCTCGCTTTCGTACATTCTGCTAGGATTTGCAACTTGAGTGAAGTCAACATTTGGAAAAACTGTATGCGGACTCCTTTGCAAGTACGTGAACATTTGTTGTTGGGCTTGCTTCATAGCGACATATTGCTGTAAGTGTATAGCTGTTTGTTGCCTTTGCTGAGCTAAATCTTGGGGAACGGTGGACGAGGGATTACCATGAATGTAGTAAATGTGTGATTGCGAATTTGCTTGTGCCTGTCCTGCTGGTGGTTGTGTTTGGGTATTACTGAACTTATTATCAACTACATTGTTTTGAGGGTCCTGGTATTCTTCTGGTGGCGCTATGTATTTCGGTGTAGATGGAGGTGTAACTTGTTGAGACATAGGGTATGATATTATTTGCGCTATGTACGGCTGTTGCGATTTCACGGAGTGCGCTGGACTGTGTGTTTGGAATGTAGGATTGAAAGTGATCAGAGATATGTCCTGATTAGAACCTGTCTCAAAGTCTTTTTGGTTTAATTTTTGATTTTCATTTCCTTCGTTTTTCTTTGGTTTTTGATTATATGGAGCAACCTTAGGGTTGTTTTTCCAGTTAGCTCCGGCGCTCTGTGGTCTTTTGATAGGAGATTTTGTTGGTTCATGCCAGTTATCTCCATTGATTTGTCTGGGGTCGTGGTGGTGAGACTGGGCACTGTGAGCTCTCCTCGGTGGGGGTGACATGCCATCGGGGACATGTTGCTGGCGACAGTATCTACGGGCGGAGCCCGGACTGCTCTGCCGCTCCGGCGGTCTGGGGACGCGTCTTCGCGCGGGCGTAGGGGGACTCGGCTGAGATTGTGAAGACTGCGTTGATTGTGACGTTGATCTCCATTGCTCTATAAGAATTTTACGTCGCTCATGTTCCATTTGTACTTCTGTCTCACTAGAAGAATCGTAATCCTTTCCCTGGGAACAACAGAATATTTCAAGAAAAAGTTCGTTAACAAAGTAATTTTTGAATAAATTTGGGAGAAATAGTACCGATTGGATCTTTTCGTCCAGCATTTTGAAGAAATCTTGCTGGCTGGCCGACACCTCACTGCAACACAAATTAGTTATTTTAAAAATTTGTGAAAGTTGCTTGTCTCTTGATAAAACCTCAAATGTCAACCTAAACAGACCCGTTGTTGCATGAAAAGTAGCATGATACGATCAAACACATATTATTATGATGAGTTCCGAATATAATGCATGTCTTGTTCGAAGGACGAAAGCAGCGATATGAATCCCATATAAAACTGGGATGAAATGAAGGAGAAACGTGTATCATTCTGATTTTGACTTAATTTCGCTATGCAATTTATTGTAATGACAACGCTTAAGACCGACGCTTAGTCTTAGGCTTTTTAAAAATCAAAAGAAGTATAGTAATCAAATAAGTTTCCTATTTATTTTCACATTTCCGGATGGTAATTATTTTCAATCCTAGTTCAGGCAGATGCAAACTTCGCTAACTGTAGTGGTGTGTAATGATATATAGTATTTACGGATGCATTTCTTACGGCATCTTACTTACATAGTAGCTTGATGTGTGGTAAGCGGCAAGCTTAGTTTGCCGTGCTCAGGATCGTTTGCAAGCTCGTCTTCTGGCACTGTCCCCGCCGCCGTACCCTCCTCTTCGTCCGCTTCTTTGTCCGCTGCGCCTGCGGAGTTGAAAAGACATTCGTTGTCTTCAAAAATCTTATGACTTTATTTCAGAACAATTTCTAGTTTTAAATCTTACATTAAATTGTGTCACAAATTAACCCCTATTATTAAATTTAACGGTGCAGATACTAGTTACTCTAAGGCTACATACGAGTATAATATCTTTATCACATTTTTCGAGTGCCTACAAAATACCATTAGACTTAATAGAACCACCAGGCACCAGCACCTGGCTTAAGAGGATCTTCCTACTTAAAAAAAACAAAAATTAACAAAGTTCTAGAATTGACACATCAAAAATTTCCCGAAATTATATACTAGCTTAAACACTGATCACTGTATTTCATTTAAAACCTGACTTTTGCACCCTATAAATATCTCAAGGCCTCAATAACAAATGTTGTCGAAAGCAACAAGATTAATGATGCCATTTACAGATTCCTCGGAAAATATCTTACCGGAGTAATCTATAAGTAATACGGGTAGTGTTATATGTATATGAGAAAAGACTTGAAAAAACTTGTTTGTTCAGGTTTTGTTGGGAACATTTAAGTTTCGGAGTTTAGTTCTTTGTCTGTACGTGAAGGGAGACTAAAAGAAAAGTTAAGTATTTTCAAGCAAGCTTGCGTTTTGAAATTATTCTTTCTTTTGATCAATCATTCTTTTGACATAAAACAAAATGAGAGGTACTAGATTCCCTTGACTCGGATCATCTTAAAGAATAGCTAGGGGGGCGATGATGAATTTTTACATTGGACCGGCAGTTATCGGGTTGTTAGTGAAGAAACGCCCTTCATCTTTTTTCACCGATAAAGTAAGATATTTTGCAATGATTCGTAAATACTAAAGGTCTGCGCTTTGGATTTGCCGTCCATATCCGTAACATTATGTTTACAGGTACGCTAGATATAATTAAGCTTACTTAAACTTGTCTGTGTCATTTCCTGGATTGTGGTTTTTTGTGATAAAAGTTTATAACACTGTCGCGCTAAAAACGTCGTTCTGAGCGGTGTGCAAAGCCTCAACTGTGTGACGGTGTGACCTCCTTGCATCGTCATCCCACCTTTTTATCGCCTTTCTCCGGTTCCTGGCCACTCGTATTTAAATTTAAATTTTGAATTTTCATAGTTCTTTTGCCTCGCAATCTGATTTTGTTTCGTTCCATCGTTACTCCCTACTCGATCGCGACAGCGGACGGAGCTGTTTTTAAGTTCAATCGCGTCTAATTTTGATTCTTTTACTAAGTTATAATCATTATAATATAATCTAAATCATGTATGAATCATAATAAGTGTATAACAGTCTACAAGCCTTATCATGTACCTATGAATACGTATCTGTAATGTAGCATATCTCGGCCCTTTTTAGGGGCAAGTGTCTAATTAATATCTTTTTCGTCAAGTTGGGTAGTGCTTTATATTAATATACCTGTTTTTCTATATATACCTTTTTATGGTTTATTTAGGGTTACAACCCTTTCAACTGGAGCTAGTGCAAAGCCTCAACTGGAGAAGGGTGAAGTTATCCGAATAAGAATTCGGATACTCCGTGCTCTATGACCGTAATAGACGACGAAGATCTGACGCAGATCTTCGCTGTCTAAAATCGATATCTTGACACATTAACTTTCCCGGAGGTTAGTAATCTAACGACGTACGAAGAACTGTCTCAATTTCAAAGTAGAATGATTAATCATTTTAAGTTGTACGGTTATAGGGCAAGTAACGTTAACACGTACTTAGGTACCAACAGGTCTTAACTACGGGTTTGTGGTTAACTGTTAAGCTGAGGGAAACTCAAATACCAAATTTTAAAGCAGATTATCATTAGTGTTCACTATAGAAGCACATACACCTACACAAAACTTAACTTCATTTGTGATCGATACTAAGTTTACGTGTAAAGTATGTAATTACCTAACTGTCCAATCTAAAAGATAATTTACCAGTGTGGTGTACGCCAGTATAAAACTGAAGAGTCTGACATCACGGTTTCATTACATTGTGCACATTCGTAGACTTATGAAATCTTTTAACTGTGTTTAAATGTATATTCAGATACTTCTTATGGACACAGGTAGATCTAAGTTTATATCTATCAAATCCTTTCAGGTAAGTTGAAGTGCACTGACCAAACATAATGTGTGAAATCGTGTGAGAACTCACGTACCAAATACCCGACCATTGCTTTGGGACCAACCTACAAATTTTGTACAAAAATATCTTCGACTACTTTTCTTATTTTACCTTTTCATTATTAATATATTTTCTTTTCTATACTTTTCAAAGGATACAATAAGGTTCATTATGTACTAAATTCATCTAATATTCACGACGGTAGCATGATAGGATTGTTAGCAAGGGAATCTTTTGCCTTGAAATAAAATTTGGGAGCATAAGTGATATATTAAGGAATGTTTGTGTTTGTTGTTCAGATCACATACATATTATGTGTGATTACGAGAAAGTAATTTATGAGTAGGGCTGAGACAAAATCTATTATCGTAGAACTTTTATGTTTGGCGAATTTACAACGACTCGCCTAGCAGACAGACGCGCGGAGGTTGCGTTCAGAAGAACTGATATGTGATGCCGTGATTGGCTCCAGTGTCACGGGCATGCCAGCGCTGGAGTGTCAGTCTGCAGACAACGGAGTGATTGCCTATATCTCGGATCAGTAACCTCTTCCTGCTTTTTCATACACCCCGTGCCAATGTTACAGAACACTTATGAGTGTTCAATCCAGTACTAAATCGCACAGTAATCACTCGTGGGTTTGGTGTAGTATTTCTATAGTAATTTTTGACAAAATGACGCTAGGATGAACTTGTTGTTAATTAAATACCGCGTAATATTCGATTCCTGATAGCACTACAATGGAGTGAGATTAACATAAAATCATTTTTCTGGAACACTATTTATACAAACCATTTCTTGAATTATTGACTTTTATTGAAACGAATTTAGATATGAAAGAATAATTTTACTCAAGACCATTTCTTGTTTGCTTATAAATACCTTCTATATTCAGTTCAGCGCCTTAAGGATTTTTGCAAAAGCTGACTCAGCGCCCTTTCGCGCTACGACAAGAATTGTATGTATTTCTGTATTTAATGTATTTATTTATCTTTCTATCTTGTAATTTGTCTTTCGCGTGACACTAACGTATACTAGAATAAATGAATGATGATCTGGATCAATGTAAACAAAGTAATGCAGTGTCAACACTGGCATATCTGTGTTGGTGTCGAACACTGAAACAGAAAAATCAGTCAGAAGAAGCGTCAAATTCGCGAGCAGTTGGGGTACGAATTATCCTTTAGCTGTAGCTCCCTCATCACTCTGATAGCATGCGATCGTGTCAAAGACTGCGGAAAACGGAACGTAATCAATGAGTAACCTATTCCGAATCACCACAAAAAATGGACATTGTACACAAGTGGACATGTAGAGAAATATAATATACGTGAGTTGCGTACGAATTTTAATTGCCCTTCTAGTGGAAGTCACCAGTAGCGTCCTAAGTCAGGACTGTATACACTTTATAATACCCTTTACTTAGCCCGTTTGTTTGGTGGCCTAGTCAAGGCCATCAGCATCAATAGTTAGTTGTACATGCTTCAGAAAAATAGACGCGAATAATAGAATCTGGTTGACGCCAAGCACTGGTATCTAGCACTCAGCGACAGATTAATATACAACCATCTTTTTTTAAAAACGCAATGTCATCACAATATAAATGATATTAGATACAATTTTCGATGACATGTTTTGACAGATATTCTGGATCCGCTATTTATGCGCTATCATGATATTTATAATATTACCAATGTAGGACATAAATTTGGTTTACATCCACGGGAAAATATGATGGATTCTTCATTATAATTGAGGAACAAGTTATTACGAAACATCATAACGGAAAATGGATTGGTATAGAAATATTATGACTCAAATTTTTCTTTGATAAACTTCGATCAAAGCTTTACCAACCGCATTCAGCCAATTTTAGCGTACACGTGCGCATTTCCTCTGCAGTGGCAAACAAAGCTGCGCACGCGTACCGCGCAACATAAACGCGTTTACGGCTTGATTGATGGCGCCTGCGCCCTGTCACGATTGTTTGGGAACTATAATTTTGTAAGCGATGAAATTCGCACTAGTTTGTTTATTGATTTTCTTGCTATTTACGATATTTGGTAAAAACGATTTATTTGTGAAAGTTGTTAGTCACAACCTTTGACCTTCGTGAGTATGGTTTGTAATAGCAATGTGTTTGTGTTTGTAATTGTGTATACGAGTTTTGTAATACATAACTGTATATTTTCAGTCTCGTACACGTAATCGGTCTACAAGCTTGATTATTATTATGTATAGATTTTTATGTTTTCGCGAATGTTACACATGAAATTTTTTATCGGATTTAAATCGCGTATTTTGCTTTTTCTACAAACCAATGTTGCGAACTCTTTACAGGTACCCTGGGAAGCGTTTTGTTAACAGACTTTACAAAACTCCTTTTGTAAAGTCTGTTAACAAAACGCTTCCCAGGGTACCTCCAGGGTCCCAGGGTCAAGCTCTCAATTTGACTGCTTGTTTACACGTTTTTTTTGCGCGTTGTGTACCGCCTATCCATAACAATTGCAGTGCCATTCAGAGCTTTCGCAATGATCTGAGGGGCACTGCCACTGCGCCTGAAACTATGTTACATAAGTTGATAAGTCCCATGTGCTTGTAAATTCGATCGGAACGCAGTAATGCTCATACTACAGCTTGTTGGCAGAAATAGGTAAGGTGGCAGTACTTCCCTGGACGAAATCTTTTACTGCTACTAGAAATGATATATTAAATTGGCTTTTCAGTGAACACTTATATGATCCACTAGCTAAAGAGCTTCACCCACCGTGAACAAACAGTGTTGTCGATCATGATTGCATGTAAAATGTTACATGCAGTCATGATTTGTGGAGCTCATTAAAAGGCATTAAGGGGTCACC